ATGGTTGAAGGTGGTGGTGCAAGAGGTCAGGGAATACTACTCACTGAGCTTACAAATCATTATGCAAGTTTGGAATTAAACGAAAATTCCTCCGAGCAAGACAGGGTAGTAAAAGCCAGAACTTATCTTATGATACTATTTGGTACCTTTTTATTTCCCGAAAGTACGGGAAATAGTTTAAATTTTATGTGTTTACATTTACTTAGAGATTTTGAAAAAACAAGAAAGTATAGTTGGGGTTCTGCAGTTTTAGCCCACCTATACAGTTCCTTGTGCAAAAATGCAGTCAAGGAAAAATGTACATTTTATGGGTGCGTTTTTTTACTACAAGCCTGGGGTTGGTGGAGGATGGAGTCCTTAAACCCCGTCAACAACAACACTTTCGTTTTCCCGTACGCAACAAAGTAAGTCATCAAGTTATATCATTTATTACTATTCATCTCTTCACCAAATATATGCTAAAAATAAGATGTTTTTCATTTCCTTTAGGTATTGCGTGAGGGGTATGGATTACGGAAAGAATCCAAGATTCAATGTCGCACTATACCGCAATCTATTGGATCACTTAGGCCCGGATGATGTACGTCGTACCTTTAAACTTTTCTTCATTTAAATTATTTATATATTACATTTTTGTTAACCTGATTTAAATTTATTCGTAGTTCGTCTGGAGACCATATTTGGGTTTGGGCCATGAACCAAACCCCGAGGATGCAGCAATTTGGACCGCAAAGACTGCAATTATTCGGTTCAATGTTGTGGAGATGCACCACAGCGACCGTGTGAAGATGCAGTTCAGAATGCATCAAGAGATACCAAGTGATCCAACTTATTTGTCCCCATGGCATCTCAAAAGGGTCGATGCCCAGTGGGGTCTTACCAACTAGAAAGACTTTGCTCCGGAATGGTGTAAGATGTGGCAGAGGTGTCACCGATATGTCTTGCAATTCTCGGTTTTCCTTAATCATGGTAATATGCGACACACAGATCAATATTTATCTTGGTACAGGTCGGTTAGTAACCCTGAAATGCACGTGTCTCATCCAAGGTACTTGGTTGACCCACGCACACAATGGGAACAACCCTCGTTTCCCCAACAACAAACCCAAAACACATCAACCTCCCACCAACCCCCCAGAAGAAACAGAATCACAAACACCCAACCACAGTCCCCACCACAACACAATTACACTCAAATGCCCCACAACCAACCACAATCACCACCTCAGTACCAATACCCCCATATGCCTCACACCCAACCACAATACCAATCACAATACCAACACACCCGCATACCCCACACACAATTTCAGTCTTCTGTATATCCCAATATGGCCCCCTCAACATCCAGCCTTAGCCCTGATCTGGGAATGTCGAAAGATTACGAACAAACCGACCCAGCCTACCATCAACCACAGTATCACCAAACCACCCAAGTTCCGGGGGTCATTACCGGGTTCCGGGGGATCACTGATTTATCTATTTTTTTTCTGTTTTTTTATCTGTTTTTTTAATGTAATACATTTGGATGTAATTTTTTTTTAATAAAAAATCAATTTTGTTGATCCTGTATCCAATACGTAACGCACCGGACCGAAAAAAAAAAAGAAGCAAAATTTTCCCTAGAATTGCACTTAGGCGCCTTCTCACTTGGCTTAGGGCATGTCCTAAGCACATAGGCGCCAAGTGAGATGGCGCCTCCCCTTAAATAATGGGTGTAGGCGCTAAGTGAGATGACTCCTCCTTTGGGGAGTCATCTGAAACATGATTATTTGCGTAATTTTTTCAGAAACGCGGTTATTTGCGATTTTTTTTTAATACTTGGTTATTCAAAAAAAAAAATTCTCCTAACGAGTGACTTAATTGAATCTTCACTTTAGCCGACAGCTAATTAAAATATATATAACCAAATAATAATTATTGAAATATTAAAATATTATTAAAAAAAAGTTTAGCCAAAAGTTTATTCATGTAATCACTGAATTTAATGAGATAAGATGTGTAATATATTAGGTCATTAAAAAATAGCTATAGATGCTAGCTTTTTTTTAGCACGAAAAGAAAAAATATATATTTTTTCCTTCTTTTAGTTCTCCCTGTGTTATCTTTTAAATATTAAATATATATTATTATTCTGTACTAATTTGCGGATACAACAAAACCCTAAATAATATTTATTGAAAACCCTAAAATTATAATATACTGAGTACAAACCCTATTCTCCATAGCATTGAAGTAATAACGGCATTTGATCTCCCCTACTATGGTGGTATCGAGAAGAGAGTTAATGGAAGATAGATTAAGTGAGTTTCACGATTCAATTCTTTGTCACATTCTTTCTTTTCTTCCAACCAAACATGCTGCAACCACAAGCATCCTATCTAAAAGATGGAAATCACTATGGCTCTCTATCCTCACTCTCGACTTCGACTGTGAATCCTTCAAAGCCATGGCCTCCTTTGATTATTCTGTACACAAGTTCATGCTCTTACGAAATATCGGACTTCCGATCCTTTCCTTTCGTTTCAATTGCACCCACTGTTTTTGTGTTTGCAACAAATCTGATGTTACTCTATTTGTTTCCTATCTAACGAAGAAAAAAAATAAAAAAATAAGGATGTCGATACATATTTCTTCTGAAAAAAAAAGAAGAAAAAAAAGAGAAAATAATTGCTATAGAGTTGTTGTTGAAGTGAATGAAGTATTTTGTAATTCAACTTCTGCAGTTTCTTTCATGTCTCTTTTCCCTCTTTGAATTTTATCCTAATACTCCTTAGGATTTATCTCACCTTGACCTTGACCAAGTTACAAGCTCAATAAAAATCTTTTTAATTTTTGTGTGCATGTATTTCAATTGTGGATGTAAGAGTATTTTCAAGCTTACAACTATACTAATTTTTGTGTTGTGCTTTGAGTGTTAACATTAACCTAAACACTTGAGAGTTGAGTGAATTTTATCCTGTAAGGATCTTGGTGCTTTTGATGTATTTTTTGGTAATATGTTTTTCCTATTTTCTTTGAATGACACAAAGAGTTGCTCATTAACATCATATTCTTGATACTTTCACTTAGAATTCTGCTTGTACCTTGTATCTTGAATACTTTTGGAAATGCATGTTCTCTTTTGTTCTTTTTTTTCTGCTTTGAATTTATAGTTTTGTTTGGAGTGCAAACGTTCAAGTGCGATTGAATTTGATCCGTATTTTTTAATTCACATTCTTTTACTATTGTACTTAGGAAACTCTATAATTTATTTTAATATTTTAACTATTTTGGTATATTTTTCTATTTAAGTTTATTGCATGCCTTTAATTTAATTTAATACTCTATTTTCAGCTTAAATAGTTAATTGATTCCTTCTCACGGTGTAGACAATAACTTGAGCTACGTGAATCAGATTGACACATTCTGATATGTGTTAGAAACCTAAGAGAAAGAGCTGCACGTTTTATGATGAAGTCAAAAGTTTATTCGGAGTGCAGAAGGGTGAAATACTTTGTTTTAGTTCCAGACATAATAAAATTAAACCAATAATTATTTTTGTGCCAACTTACGTTTTTCGGGCCGATGCTCTTAAAGCCCAATTTTATTTCTTATTTAAGCTAAACTAAGTATTGGAGAAAGTTGGACAATTTAAATGAAACAGAGAGAATTAGGATTACATGACATACTAAATTGCAAGGTTAATCTATTGTTTCAGAATTTCATCAAGACTTTGAGGTTATTATATTATTAGTTTTTATTCAATTTCTTTCAATCCTATTTCATTTATTCTTGTTAGCTTAAATTTGATCGATGCATGTTCCTTAACTTCGCGTGTTAACTTAGCTCATTCGTTAACTTCGCCCAATCTTCAACTGTCATGCTTAATGCAGTAAATAGAAATATAATTTATATAATGTTGATCACGCTTGTTAATTGATACTATAATCAAATAGGAATTGAATCCGCTTAGGAAATTGGTAATATAATAATTGATGATACGTTTGAAATTGTGAAACAGTAGACTAATCGGTTAATCATAATTGTAATCGTTTTCTTTATTTTTAATTGTCCAAAAACCTAAACCCTCCTTTTGCTTCTTTCTTTGGTTAAAATAACTTAGAATCCTTGTAATACGACTCAAGTGTTGCTTTCTTACACTACTCCTATAAACTCTTTATTAACCCATGTACGACATCAGATCAGCCACTTAAGATTTCCATTATTCCAAAATTAGTTATGATGATATCCACTTATATTTCAGTTCAAACTTATTTAATTAGTTAATTAATTAATTTATAAATGAAATTTAATTAGTCTTTTAACTTTATTTGATCCTGGTTTTTAATCCTTCGGCCAAATATTGTTGTTGTGTTGGATAAAAGTTTTAGGATTAAATGTTATTAATAGGAAACACCATCATCCTTTAGAGAAATTTTTTGACAAAATTTTGTTTTTTACTTTATTTTTTGCCATAATTGTGAGGAAGATGCAATTTTGCCAACACAAAAAAAAACTAGTGTGAAAGTGGAAAAATGTTGAGGTGAGATGCAGTGAGAAAATGTCTAGGTGTTATCATTTTATTTTTATTAAATATGAACTATAGATTATATCTAACGGTATAATTTTAGGGTATCCCTAACAAGGAACTTAATTGAATCCTCACTTTAGCCGTCACCTAATTAAGTTAAAACATATATGACCACATAGTAATTATTGAAATATTAAAATATTATAAAGGAAATTTCAACAGCATGCTAAAGTTTATTCATGTAGTCTACCCAATTTATAGAAATAGGACGTATAATATATAATATTTTGTCAATAAAAAATAGCTATAAATGCTCACTGTTTTTAGCTTGAAAAGAAAAAATATTTTACTTTGTGGATACAACAAAACTGTATGAATAAGAAAACCCTAAATAATATTTATTTAAAACCCTAAAATTATAATATACTGAATACAAACCCTATTCTCCATAGCATTGAACTAATAACGGCATTTGATCTCCCCTACTATGGTGGTATCGAGAACAGAGATAATGGCAGATAGAATAAGTGAGTTTCACGATTCAATTCTTTGTCACATTCTTTCTTTTCTTCCAACCAAACATGCTGCAACCACAAGCATCCTATCTAAGAGATGGAAATCACTATGGCTCTCTGTCCTCACTCTCGACTTCGACTGCGAATCCTTCAAAGCCATGGCCTCCTTTGATTATTCTGTACACAAGTTCATGCTCTTACGAAATATCGGACTTCCGATCCTTTCCTTTCGTTTCAATTGCACCCACTGTTTTTGTGTTTGCAACAAATCTGATGTTACTCTATTTGTTTCCTATCTAACGAATAGAGGAATCGAGAATCTTAACATTAAAAATAATATCATATTACCACCTAGTATTCTTAGTTGCAAGACCCTTAAGGTTCTTAAGTTGATTGGGGCAATAGTGAATAGTTTTTCTCATCAAGTGGATTTTCCGGTTCTTAAAATTCTTCATTTAAAGGAAATGAGATTCGAACGTCATGAATTACTTGTAAAACTTCTGTCAGGCTGTGCTACACTTGAGGAGTTGCAAACCAAATATTTATGTGTACGTTATAAGGATTCACTTGTTTCAGAGAAAGATTCACTTGTTTCAGAGAAAGAGTTTGACGGCTTGTTACCTAGTTTAATCAAAGCAAAGATTTCTTTTGACAACTCTATTATTCCGGTTAATTTGGTTCGTAATGTGGAGAATCTATGTATGAAACAGGTATGAATGTATCTTGTTCCTAAATATATATTTTATGTTTATATAAAGTTATGGTTTTATAACTTTAGTCCATAGTTTTAAATTGGCATTGTGGACGTGGTCGTAAGAGTTGTGTTTTGAATTTTGTTTGAGAGATCTTTGAAATACATAATTGAAAAACACTAATTTATTTTATTTCGATTGGTCAAATTATAAAAAATATACAATGGAATGGAACTCCACTCCATCACATTTTATTTAGCTCCATTCTATTTTATTAATCCAAATATAGCCTAAATGTTACGATTTTCCGTTACATCAAAAAAGTAAATTGAGTTTTGGGATTGGGTCTTGTGCATTCTAATGGAGTCGGACCCATGATCTTAAATCACAAAGTAATTGTGGTTGCGGAGACTACATCAACCGCAATATTACCGCTGCAATTTTGCTTGCAGGCTGCATTTTAAAACCATGTTTTAGTAATTACATATTAGTGATATAAAAGACAGATAAATAAGAATCCTTGTTTATATACTAATGTATTGTGTTGTGTATTTCATGCAGGTATCATTGACATATTGTACTAAACATTCCATGTTTCATAATCTTACACCATTGACATATTGTACTAAACTTCCCATGTTTCATAATGTTACACATGTGGAATTTAAAATTTTCGGAAATATGTGGGATTGGTTACCACAAATGCTTGAACGATGCCACAAACTACAAAGTTTAATCATACAGGTTTTGTTCATGTCTCAACTTTTTTTTCTTCTTTTTGAAGTATAATTTCATGTATTTTAATGTTTAAATATAAAAAGTTGCATGATTGTTTTGACAGGGTGTTGAATATCAAGACGAGTTAAAGGATAAAAGTTGGGAGGATCCAGCAATAGTTCCAAAATGTCTTTCATCGCAACTAAGAACATGTTGCCTTGCATATTGTAAAGGCACCAAAAATGAGCTCCAATTTGCGAAATACATTTTGCAAAATTCAAAAGTACTAAAGACTATGAAAATTAAGTATGATTATTGTGCAGATATACAAGCAAAACACCAAATGACAATGGAATTATCTTCATTTGCAAAGGGCTCTACAATGTGTGAACCTGCCAAGATCCTAATTGAAACCAAACGCAAATATTGTTTGTACCTTACAGAATTCAACGTTACATTCTAAACAACAAACTTATTTGATTCATGATTTTATTATAAAAAGTTCGTTTCATTTGGTGTAATGATTTGATTATAACGCATTGTTTTTCTTTTATTATTTTTCACTTAAGGGTTCTTGTGAATTTGAATTAGTATAAGTGTGTCCATCTTTCAATTATTCCTGTAAATTTGAGCTTCCATTTATGTGAAAGTCAACCGAAAGTATGGCTTTATGCATTATAATTTATGAATTTATAATCAGGCTTGCTTAATTTTTTTATAAATAAATTTGAGATAAAAATAACTATCAGCTAATTAAATATTTGACACAAAAGCCATAAATGATATTCCTCTTATCAAAGCACCATTGTTTTTAAATTAACTCAAATTGTTTTTGATATTCCTCTTATCAAAATACATTTCATCTCATTATGTACATTTGGGCATTTTCAAGGAAGGGAACCTCAATGGTCATTGTGTCTAGTCCTTAAGAATGCTACATAATATATTTTGCAAATTCGAACTCAGGTTTTGTGCCTCTGTAACCTCTAATGCAACATATTTTGAACTGTGATGAAATGTATTCTGGAACAGTAAGAGAATGATTTCAACAATAGTTACAAATATTCTTTCCATACCCACAATCCTGTCAAAAGCTCACATAATTTTTTATTAAAAAAATACGTTGAATTAGAGTTGAAAAAGAAAACAATTGGAAACATCAAAACCTGAATGATAAAATGCGGGAGCATTTATGAGTAAAGGAATGAATTGAAATCTTTGTTTTCTCGCAAGTAAAGAAATTCGTGAAAGCTTGTGAAGTATTTGAAGCATACATGGTTGTAATCGAGAGCTAGAATGGTTTCCATCTCTGAGAGAAAAGTGAGAATGTAGCGCAGAATTGAGTCCGACAATTCACTGAATCTGTCCAATTTAGGGACTGATACTGTCAAATTCACCATCATACATACATCATAGTACGTACAATCAGCATGCCCACAATAAGAATTTATATTCCGGGATTTAACAAATAGGCTTGACAAACACCATGCCCACAATAATACGTACAATCAGCATTACTGTTGTGCCTGTCTTGCTAATTTGCCCAACCTATACCGAGAAAAAGAAGCAAAGAAAGATATCAAGCTAATCTCTTCATGTTACGTACATAGCAGAAAATTTGATGCCTTCAAACACCATGGTCATTGATTTAACCACCTTGACCTAAATCAGGTTCTTGATATTCCATTACAGTCTTATTCTATTTTATGAATAGTTTCTCAAAAAGACAAATGAATGTACTACTAAGAATATTATTCTTCAATAAAAAACATAATTCCTCAATAGAGATACATATACTCTCAGTGACGCATACAGATAAACTTGTTTACAAACTGAAAAAGAATAATAAACTTCCATCATAGACTAGCAACTGTAATGAACCCAATTAAAAGTATTGCAACGAAAATTAGTGTTTTATTGAATTTGTAGGGCATGTATGTAGCAGCGGTAAATCATTGACATTCACTACGCCAAAAATAAGTTACGAAAGCGCTTTTTTTGGCCTTTAAAAGCGCTTAAAAGCGCTTTCTAAGGTGGCGCTGCTATAGGTTTTAGCAGCGCTTTTTGTTTAATGAAAAGCGCTTTCGTAGGTCTACCTAATACAGCACTTTTTCTAAAAAGCGCTCTCTTAAGTAGGCTTTTGGCAGCACTTTTTTATGAAGAAGCGCTTTCATAGGTCTACCTAAGGCAGTGCTTTTTTCTGGAAAAACGCTCTCATAAGTTTTCTTTTAGCAGCGCTTTTTTCTGGAAAAGCGTTGTCTTAGGTAGGCTTTTAGCAACACTTTTTTCTGGAACAATCAACAAACACTGTTGGGATCTAAAACAAATAGAATCAATTTTTTTTACAAATGAATCTCAGAATGTATAGAAAATAAATCAAATCTTACAGAACAAATAAAATAAAATCAATACATTATAGAATCGAATCAATTACAAACGATTTCAACCCCTAATTTTCCTAATCACTCTAAATCTAAGCTCTAATCAAACTTGTAACAATGTTTTGCAAAATCTGAAACCCTAAGCTCTATAAATAGCTAAAGAAGAATACAGAAAAGAGGGGAAGATCTGAAGACGGAGCAGAAAAGAAGAAAAAACTTAGAGGAATATAAAGCCTTGCTATTGAAAAGGAGAAAATATGATTTAGGGTTTCAATATCTAAAACCCTAAATCGCGCCGACGTCAACCTCCCTTAAACGCATCTCCGAGCCGCCGTTACATCACCTTCGAAGGCCATCACCTCCCATGACCTGAAAATCGAAAAGAAAGAAGAAGATAAGAACCAGAAACATAACATATCAGAACAATCACGATCAGAGGTAAACGAAACTTAGCTTTTTGATTTCTGCGTTTTGATTTCTGCCTCTCAACTCATTCAAAATATCAAACCAACTCCATTTGCAAAGGAAAAATATCTTATAAATGGGAGACACGTTTATGATGTCATCAATATCACAAATGGACCATGGGTTACCTGCAATGATGCATCGATTTACAAATAAAGTTAGCCACAACTCTCAACCACGTCACTCAAAGTTAACATATTCAGCCTCAAATTTCTCTCATGTTCTGATGCATAACATGTGTGCACATAGAAATCAAAGAAAAACATAATACCTTGGTTTATTCCAGTTAGCCATCTTATTTCGGTTAGTACCTCCATAATGCAGAGGAGCAGCAACAACCCTACGCGCAACCTCAGTTGCAAGGGGAAATTGGTTTCCCTGGAAATTTGACCTTCTTTTTGCAAGAACTCCCTAAGAACCGCAAGTGAACGAGTTAATATCGGAAATATGTACAAAAATGTAAACATAATATGACCGTGGTGCTTGATACACATACTTGTCTAAGAGAAGATCTCGACTCCATGTACCGGCGCGTCTTAAAAGATCTATCTTGTGGAAAACTGTTTGTAAATTTTTTGCTCTTGTTCTGCATAGACATGAATATGAATCAATCAAGCAAAATAATAACTATGAAGTACCATGAACAAACAAATAAGCAAAGAAATATTCAAAAGCAAAAACACTTACCGAAACCCTAGTTTGCTTTGTTGTAAATTTAGGGTTTTTAGTCATTTTGATTATGTTATCTGTGAACAACACCAACATTAAATATATCAAAAACAATAAAAAGGATGTTATACAAAAAGGTTATGATGAATGTGATATAAAAAAAAAAACATACCTAGTGTCATGTCCATCTTCTTCTCTGTAAGAGCAACAAGCTCGGTGATAAGTGGTTTAGCTACCATCTGAAACAAAAGCATGAACAAATATCAATTAAAAATCAGCAACCATATTCAGCACGAATTGAAGGCAAAAATTGATGTAATATGAAGAATCACGGTGCGTAAAGACTTTATTCTAGGGTTTGAGACGACGAATTCGATGAAACATGAGGGTTTGTAAGATAAGAATAAAGACAGAAAGAGGTAGCGAGAAAGAGATGAATTGAAGGAGAGAACTTACGACGGCGGGGAAATCAAACAAACAATCGCGATCAGAGGTTAAGTTTTGAGTTTATAGTCGGGGGAAGGATCGGGTTTGAGCGCCGCTGCGGGGTTGATTTTAGGGTTTGATGTTAGATGATAAAGGAAGAAGGTGGAGTAGAGAGAGAGAGAGAGAGAGAGAGAGAGAGAGAGAGAGAGAGAGAGAGAGAGAGAGAGAGAGAGAGAGAGAGAGAGAGAACGATAATGGTTAATGAACGAATGAACAAAAATGAAAATATAAAATGTATAAAACTACCTACAAAAGCTCTTTCTAAAGGTCATCTATAAGCGCTTTCATAGCATATCCTATAGCAGCGCTTTTAAAAGCGCTTTCTAAAGGCCAACTTTAGCAGCGGTTTGGAAAAGCGCTTTCTAAGGCTGACCTTTAGCAGCGCTTTTGAAAAGCGCTTTCTTAAGGTACCCTCTGAAAGGCCAGCTTTAGCAGCGCTTCCCAAAAAGCACTTTCTAAGGGTGACCTTTAGAAGCGCTTTTGAAAAGCGCTTTCTTAAGGCACCCTTTGAAAGCGCTTTTTTAAGCGATTTTTTTTTAAAACCTACAACAACGCTTTTTTCCAAAAACGCTTTCTTTTATGTGCTGCTAAAACTTATTTTTGGCATAGTGATTAGATAGTCAATTGGTAGCCTCTCTGCCCAAATAAAACCTTACTAACCTCACAATTTTGAATGAAAAGTTTTCTTAAAAGGCAACATCACTAATTTTGCTTGTAGTTAAAGATATCAATAATAAATGCTCCATGACTAATGAATTTTAGTTCGAATGAAAAAAAACTAAATTTACTGATTAATGAATTTGAACACTCCTCTTGCTGAAAGGCAATACATGGAAGTGATTCAAGAATTTAGATTCAAAAAGACATAGCATACAACAGCTATGAAAATCCATATAAATAGTTTCAAGCAAGCAAGCCCTTTTGGCCTATTAGTTCATAAAAGATTTTAAAATGACTGACCATTTGATAAAATGCTCAACAACATAGAACCATTCGCACCTGAAACAAAATGAGCCACACAATAAACAAAATATTCAAGCTGAATCAAAGTGAGGCATACAACACACAAAACCATCCATGCATAACCTAAAATTCACAAACACCACCCTTTATCCCTTATTAATTTCCTTCTACCATTCAATAAAAATATATCATCCTTGTTATAGATTTTAACTGTATTCATAGAATGAACAACCAAACTACATCATACAATAAAACAAAAAGTAGAACTTTGATTACATGGATTGGTTTTCCTTACACTAGGAAAAGGAATATGATATCACTCCCAAAAAAAATTTTCATGAAAAACCACTAACATTCTTCCAAAAAAATACCACAACATAGTTGTCATCATCATCAACCAAATAAAAGTTTAAATGTTATATAGCTCCTTGTGCATGATGATAACTTTGAGAGAACACTTGTGGCTGCAGAGAATTTGGTTGGAAGGAAAGAGAGAATG